TGAGATTCATTAGCTTTGTGAGATTTAATTATGCCAAGGGACTGGAAGTCCCAAAAAGGTGAGGCTGAGTACCAGAGGTGGGATTGAAACCAAAAGTTGTTTGGAGACCCTTGTAACAAATTAAGCCTCAATTAAAATATAAATTCTACCTAACAGCAAGAATATTGCACAATATATTTAGACCTTTTTTTGAAAAACATTTTCTCTGCTTTTCAAGAAAAAAAAGGAACTAAACATATCAATTCTAAATAAGACAGGGATCAGGGAAATTTTTTGCCCTGACTCTGTTGGGCTGGGTCCCTTTCCATCACAGGTGATCTTTTTTATTAAAAGTACCTGCAGCAAAAGTGTTTACTTATAGCTTCAAGAAATATAGTGAAGACATTTTCTTAAAGCTGGGCATAGTTATTAAGGAAGCTAAATTAAAAAGGCAAAAAGTATTATTTACAACAGACATGCTGAAATGGTAAATAAACCAAATGTATTTTACTTTGGACTGGAGTACTAATATATTAAATTGCCAATCAGAGGGTGGGCACATTTTCCATCAAACTGTTGAATTTCTCATTATTGTGTTTCATTTGAATTTTAGCACATAATTTCAGAAAAGCCATTTGGGAAATAAATTAGAAAAATTAGAGAATTATAATTCTCTTTCCATATATTCTAAGTAAGACTTGTAGCTTTTCCATTTTGAAATTATAACTTGACTTTCAAAAACTGATTGCAAACAGAAAAACATATGAAATATAGATGGAAAGGGATGAATTCTTTGAAGAAGAAACCCCTGATTAAATATTTGAGATCATCTTGTATGCAATAAAAACTAAAAGAAAAAAGCTAAATAATCAGCCTGAACCAACTTTACTTCCCACTTTTGATTCTGCAATCAAAGTGAGCACTCTACCTGTTTTGTAAATTAATCCTTCAAACCTCCAACTGTCCACAATAATAACATAAATATTTGAATATTTTATTTTGAAAATTTGTAAGCATACCAATGTCTCTGGAGAAACAGTTTATACAATTTTAGTGAGAGATAACAAAAATATGTGTTTTGTTATTCCATTGAGTACTTTGCATTGATACACAACAGTCCCCAGCAACAGGTCAGGTGTTCAAACACATATCCCCCATGTAGTGGCATGATGCTCAGTAATTCGTGCATTTCCTCAAAACTCTCCAGGTGTAAGCTATGCTGGAATCTGCTCTTGGTGCCTGTGGGTTTTACACTCTGCAAAAACTATTTCCGTGTCCAAAAGACCACAAAACACTTAAAAGTTGTGAATAGGGGAAAAATAGATTAAGAAATATGAGGATGGTTAAAACTGGGAGAGGAGAAGAAGTGTAAGGGCACAGGCATGGATTCCTAGGCTGGAATTCACTGGAGAGGAATAACATTCAGAAACTCCTGCTGGCAGTTTGTGTTTTTTGTTAGATAGTAATCCACAGGCAGGATCATATCCATGATTTTGGATATGGTAAAGGGATAACAGAAACAATAATCCTGCCCATGGCCATACCTATTCTGATTCATACTGCCCTAAAAAGAATAACTAATATAGGAATAGAAAAATACAGGTGCAAGGAATGAGCAGAGATGAAGTGAAATCAAAATGAAACAAACCAACATTTTTTTAAAACTGTAAATGCAAAAGGACAGAAGGGAAAAGAGAAACCACTGTAAAAAAAAGTTTACAAAAAAGGCTCATTACTGGAACAGTCAGTGTGAGCATTTTGGCTATACTTCTGGACCAATTAATGAAAAATGGATGTATGTGATTTTTTTTTTCTGGTCATTGTATTTCCAACCCATAAAAGTTAATATCACTAATAAAGTGCTAAACAGTACACAGGTGCTATTTTATCACAGCCAACCTGTGAGGAGAAACAGAGGTCAGGAGAACTTTAAAAGGCAGATATGACTTACTCAGGCTTTAATTTGCTTCCAAAAACATGGGCAGTGACCCTTTAAATCACAAGCCAATTACAAGCATTGTAGTGCCTTTACTAATTACATGCTGAGAGTGTAAATTTAAAATGGCAATTTCAATTTTCAGTTCATTGGGAGAATGCAGGAAAATGAAATTGCATGCTAATTAGTTCATATGTATCAGACACCTGAAAGATTAGAGAAAAAAAAAACTTCTGCACTCATTACAAGTGAGTTATAAGCAGAACACTCAAACCTTTTATTTGCCAGGCTGCATATAAATAAAGAAATTAATTGACAAAGACAATTGATAATGATGGAACAAGGCAAAAATAGCTACAGGCTTGTACATAATCATACTTTGAGGGACTTTGCCCATTATACATGGCTTCCTTGAGAATTTATCCAGCATTAGAAGCTCCAAGAGGGGAACAGGAGATTGCTTCAGGTTCAACCGCGCTAAATGTTAATTTGCGTGTCCTAAAAATGGATTTTCTGGCTTTGTAACTTTCCACTTAATGTCTGCCAAGCACTCACACCCTTTTTCAGTGCCTTCTTCTGGACCAGGTGCTTTGTCACTCAGAGCAGCAAGGAAAAGGTTCCATGTGCAGGCTGCTCCCAGTGGGCTCTGGGCAGAGGCTGGTGACACAACAGAGTAAAAACCCAAGTCGAGGGTTTGACATCTTTTCTCCCATGAGTCAGAAATTTAGCCCAAATCTGACTTTTTGTACCACTCCAGAAACATTTATGGAGCATCTCCCTGGGCATTACAGAACCCGTGCAAAAATAAAATGTGGGATTTCTGCTCCTCCTCTCATCAAACTGGTCCCCCATACGAGGGTCAGACAGTGTTTATTTCTTAGAGCTTATTTCATGGTTGAAGAACAAGAAAGTGCCCTGATGTAAAGAACTATTGGGCATAAACTGTGAATCTGTGGATATCTCCACCTTGCCAGACCTAAAAAGATTTTCTGCAGAACACCTTCCTTCCACCTATCATCTCCCTAAAAAAGTATCAAATTTTCTGCTTCCAGGTGTTTTAAAGAAAGAGAAAAGTAAAGAAAGAAATCCTCTCAAGGCTTCTGCTCTGAAATTACAAATAATATTTTTAATTTTTCCCTGAACTGAAAAAGAGGATTAAAAAATATCACTTGGCAAGTTTTGTGAAGACAACAGACTAAAGTTTGTTTTGCAAGAAAAATGAGAAGAATATAAGAGAATGTTTAAAACACATTAATTGTATTATGTAAGCTTGTCAAGTCCTTACACCCCATGGTTGTCAAAATTACAGAATAACCTGTAAGGGATTGGAATAACCTCCAAAACTCCAAAAATAAAAAAAAAAGAGAACAAATTCTTCAGACCTGTTGCAATGGGTTGAGACTCTAGACACATTTTCTCCACTGGCCCAAGGATGTTCCTTGCATGTAAGAGCAGAGGGAATATTTCCCAGGGAGCAAAGTCCAAGGGAGCCTGGCAGCTGCCCCCGTGGTGCCAAGCACAAATGTGAAAGCATCAGACCATTAAATATCCCCATCCAGCTCTTCTCCTCAAAAAGACATGTCTAGGAGGCCAGTGCTAAATGATTTTGAAATCTTTCTCCAGCTTATTTAATAAAGCCTACACTCTTCACACAGCCCAAAAGCTGACTTTTTCATTATGCATTAAAATTACATTAGATTTCTACTCCCATGGAAATAATTCTGCTCAGGTCCCCCTGCATGATCCTTTGCCCTTCTTTCCAATGTATAAATTTTACAGACTTCCTAACCCCTCTGATCTTTATGGAGGAAAACTGACAACACGTTCAAGGGCCTTTGTGTTTTCATTCTGCAATAAATAACAAACAGTAGAACCAGTTTTGTTTTTCAGAGGTGACAAAATCCAGCACTCCCACTGCACCAGTTTCAGAAAACTTCATCAAACAGTGTGTTGTGTCTGCTCTCCATACAAGAAAAATGAGCAGGTAATTAGGTATGCTTCCCCCCTAGATAAGTAGGAGCCTCTCAATAAAATTAAACATGGTAGTCAGGGAAAAAGCATTGATTGTGAACAAATATTAATGCAATGTACCCCAAGGTAGCCTCAAGAAGAGTGTGTCTGACAAAACTGAGGGCATTATGGACACTTCAACTTAACGTTAGCAGATAAAATGCTCAAATATCACAGTTTTGCTAAATCCTGCAGTGGGTTCACTGGAAGGGAAGCATCCTCCTCACACACTGGATCATGAGGATCAGTGCAGAAAGTTTTCACATGAGTATCTAACTCACAAAACTTTATTAACCAACAGCTGAAATTGCCAAAGCTCTGCCCAATTCTCATGTCATGAAAACACAACCCAAGCAAAGAGCTACAACAACCACTACAAAATTACCTTCATAACAACACTGCTACATGACTTCATACTTGCTGCTTTCACTGAAGTCATTTTTTGGGCACAGAGAAATCCAGTACACAGTAAGGGCACGCCATTTGAATCACTCAAGCAATACCATGCTTGAGTGGGATGAGAAAATGTGTATTTTCAGCCCCATGGATGTGTGTGAACTAACAGCTGTTTCAACCTTAACTAAAACAGTTCCTGTTACTTCCAGTAGTGCTTAACCTGTGTGTCCAGAGCAGCTCAGCAAAGAGCTCTTCCAGCATGCTCTGGCAGTGCCAAAATCATACTACAAGGACTTTTAGCATGTGTCAGGATATCTCCACCAAGAACTAAAGCTATGGTATGCTTCTAAGGAGCTGACCACCAAATACAACATATGTGGAAAGCAGTTTTTTTTGAAAGGAGCCTGCATAAATCTGCTTCCACGGTTTAGAAGCCACAATGGAACATATGCACAGGGGGTTTTTTTAATTAAAAAAAAAAGATAAAAGGAGCTTGTGCATTTTTAAAGTCAAGATTATCACTGTTTTGCAACTAAATAGTCCCTTTTAGCCTGGGCTATGTCTCTGACAGTGAATAAGAACCTAGCTGTTCGTTAACCACTTTTCTTCATCAGTTTCTTAAGTGACACTGGCAATTGAATCAAGGATGTTTTTTTCCCTCCTCAGCTCCATCTGTTACCTGAATCCAGGGCCATCTGTCATTTTCTGCTGCAGTCCAGGCATTCACAAGACCCTTCTTATTAAGCCGTGCATAGTAGGGGTACCACTTCTGGAGTCCAAAAAGAGCTCGGTGAGTGGAGGATGCAGTGATTTGTTGGTTTGACACAATCCCTCCTTCTATCCCTAGTGGGCCAGAGCACCCTGCAAACGGGAAAAAAAAAATTAAAAAAAAAATTTGTCTGAAATTATCAACTCTTCTGAGCTCCAAGTCACTGTAATTGCAATAGAATACAAATAGATCCAGAATATCATGCCAAATCCAGCTTAGAAGAAATTAATTGTGTTTTCATCAAGCATTCATCCTCATTTTGTTTTCATCAAGCATTACTTGGGGATTGAAAGGCCTATTCAAATTTTTTAATTTCTACAAACAGGTGATATAGTCAAGTACTTAGAAGAAATTCAAAGTACTTGACTATATCACCTGTTTGTAGAAATTAAAAAAAACAAGTACAAAAGTATGGCTTGCAAATAACTATTCTCATTATACAAGTAATGAAATGGATTAAACTTTCAATTTCTTTTAGCTTATTCTAGCTGAAGACTTGTGATTTTGGGTTTTATGGACACAATGAAGGAAAAAATTCTCAGATTCAGATGTTGAAATGACTGTTAAAAAGTAAATTTAAAATCCTGTAATTACTGCAAGTTCCATATTGCTGCTCTTCCCTCAAAGTTCAGCACTTAAACAAAGTGCTACAAATTGCTATTGCAGTTATCTCTAGAATTATGAAAATAGACATAAGTTATCATTCAGTCACATTAAAAATATTTAAAGGTTTATCCATTTAATCAGCAAGACTCAAAGCATGTATTTAACTGAAGTGCTCCAGTTTTCATAATTTTATGTATGGTATTCATCATTACTTTATTCACAAGAATACTTGTAGACCTAATCTTCTTTTAAAATCAAGATATTTCTGCATACATTGCTTTTTGAAGCCACTCCATTTGGGCACAGGAACAAAAGCATTCAGCTATTGTGAGCAATCCACAAATGTAAATTGAGAAAATTATGAAAATTCATTACATACAAACAATTGGCAGTTTATCTACTATTCAACACCCAACTGAGTAGCTGAGATTTTCCTTTCCCCAGCTCCGATGCAGAATCTGGAGAGAAGGTAATCACAGGAATTATTCTGGCAGCCAGTGTTGCTCTGTGGCCCAAAAGACCTTCTGCTTTGCAGGTCAGCTGCACTTTGGCAATTTTGAGCACCACAGGGCAGATGTTTACTTACATTTCAGGTTTTCTCAGAAACCTGGCAGAGTTTCACCTCGAGCAGTACCCAAAAAATGAACTCTCAAATCACACTGTTACGATATCCTCATACCACACAGGCAGGCAGTCACAAATAATTTAATTCCTCATTAATTTGAAGGTGCAGAGAAGAAAAAGTGACCAGTGCAATTTGCTCCTCTCAGCCAGGAGATGGTGCAGGGTAGTGCAGCCCCCAGTGTGGGGTGATGATGGAGGCAAAGATAAAATGAACTGAAGTTTTAAGTTGATGATGGTGATGGACAAAAGGTAAAGCAAAGCTTCAGGGAGTGCTCCTCCTTAAAAACCTAAAAAACTTCCAGGAGATGCTCACATGAAAACCTGGCCACACTCAAATTAGTGAGTGGGACTGACACGCACCATGCCATTACTCCACACAGGTTTTTAACACCCCATGGGTTTCTGGCTCCTCATTAGGTCCCTGACAGGGGGAGCCCTCCTAGGGCAGTTCTGTGCCAGGAAAGAGAGGTGCACCAGACTTTTTCTGTCTTCAGCTTGTTGTTTATTGTTATCTTATCAAAACTTCAGCGTGCTGCCTGCACCAGACTTTGCACGCAGGAAAAGCACTACAAAATGGCCCCAGATGTACAGTTTCAAGGACTTTTAAAGTTGTTTTATCCAATTAACTCTCAAAACGCGCTTTATTTCCACTTATCTACCAATAACTAGTCCCTTGTCTGTCCATGTAACCTAAAACTGCAGCTTTCCTTGATCAATCACTCTGTGCCACCAACACTGCAGAAAATGGAGTAGATGAAGAAGAATAAGAAGAAGCCTGGGACAATGCCTGATGTCCTTCATCTTGCCTCCATACTAAAAACCCCCCAAAAATCTTTCATCCTGTGATAAACTACACTCTTTTCTATTTGTTTCACAATCTTGTAGACTCTAGCCTATCTCTAAGTCTTGGAAGCTTTCTCCATGAGAGAGGGTCAAAGTCACTGCTTCTCTGGGGCTCAAAACCCCTCAGAGCAGGCAGAGAAATATTCCCTGTTCCCTGGGTTCCCACACCAGCCCACAAAGCTCAGCTAGAACCGAAACTCCTCATGCTACTTCTCTTTATCACCCAAAAATAAAAGCTTTGCCTTCAGCACTCAGGTAATAACTGCACAAAACAGGACTAAACGTGACTCTCTCCTGTTGCTGTGCCAGGTGTGGGGCAGCACCAGGAGAAAACAAAATCGCTGTCACCAGCATGGGCAGGCACAATGCAGAAGACACTCAGAAAACCCATGTACGTTGTGAAGGTGTCATTCCTCATTGTGTTTTCATCAAGCTTTACTTGAGGATCGAAAGGCCTATTCAAATCTTAGCTGTTTTCTCAAGTATTCTCATCGAAGCAGAATGGAATCTTTTGGTGTGCAAACTGCTGCATCTGCTTGGAAGACAGAGGTAAACGACTCTTCTCTCCTAAGAAAAGTGTAGGTTTTGAAAAGTTTCTTACAGCTAATTATTAAAGAAAATCTGTGCTGTTTCATAATGGAAAAGTTCACACAGGTGTATCTACGTGCATGTGTAATTCACCAGCACACCCATATCTACAGGACACAGGAATGAAATAAATTAACCATCTTTAACAGCTGCAATCACAGACTGATAATTATTTAAAAATAGAATGTGAGAAAAGGGAAGAGAGGTTTTCTGAGACGATCATAAAGAGGAGGCATGCTGGAGCCATGCTAACATTTGCCATGTCTGTTAATGCATCTCGTGTCTGAGATCCATTAAATTTTCTTTGAAATATGTGTGAAATCCTTACAAGGCAAAGTTGAATTTTCCTTTCTAACTTGAAGGCAATTTCCTTTCCAAGTTTAATTACCAAGCACAGCACTTAACTTTATTTTTTCAGCTATGACCATACATGCTCAGCAGTGCTTATCTTCCTTAGCTTTAGGAGGATTATTGCTGAAATCCAAAGACAATCTCTACCTTCAGGGAACAGGTACTTTATTGTACAAGCTCCTTATTTTCTTTGCAGTTCCAGTCATGGTTTTGTTATGTTTGTCCATTTTTCAATCTGAGCTAAAGAAAAATACTACTCCTAACATTTAAAATTACCACATTAGAGATACTTTCTGCTTTGGTGTTCAGTTCAGACTTTACAAAATGAGATGTGTGGAAAGCATGATACTAGATAATGGTTTCCAAACAATATTATAATTATATTTCTTAAATTATCAGAACATTCTCCTGGCTTTTTTCTTATTTATCGAACAGCCAGGATTACAGCAGAAGTTTTATTAGGATACTGTCAGTGAGGTCCTTCCACCGTTAATATTGCCCTTTTACTCACCATTGAGGTATTTATTTTACTCAGAATAATTTTCTATAACAAAACCTTTCCATTCACTTTCTTTTATCAATTAAAATCAAATATTGAACATATTTTTGGATAGTCAAATACCAGAGCAAATGGACTTCCCTTAGCCATATGCTCATTAATTTCCTCCAAAAACTTCACTAGATTATCAAGTCACTCTTCTTTCTTCTAAAAACTCTATTTATGGGGCTATTGCTCTCTAAATTCACAAGAAATTTGTTTTCCTGAAAACTCTCAGCTGAATGGCCCATCTCTGGTTCCATTAAATGTGGTTTATCACTAAAAGATTGGTTACAGACCAGTTCCTGTACACGATAATAAATTTCAGACATAAACCTCACTTTTCTTCAAGTTATCAATTATTTCTTTAGGTGTTTAAGAACTGTGATATACCACTAACTACTAACAATGAAAACAGGCAACAAGAGCATTTTCAGCTCTTTTTCTTTTTTTTTTTAATTGAGAGGCATATTTTGCAGAAGCGTAAGATGAATTACATTTTATAGCTATGCTTCTGTTTCTATTAAATCCATGGTTCTTTTAACAGAAATCATGACAGCTTGGGAAATAATAATATCACTACTGTGATAAATTGTGTACAATTCAGACTGGCCAATGTTAGTCATTAAATAAAAAAAGAGGGATATTTTTATTAGTTAAGGCAGAGGCATTGGGGTATGACAACACACTTGATGCAAAGAAATAAAGAAAAATTAAACAGCAATTAAGCTGCCTGACATGATACAGATTCTCCAGGCAGATTTTGTCATCTGGAGCTGTTATTTCAGTGTCATTAAAAAGCAAGATACTAAGGCAAGTTATATTGGTTTTAATCCTACAGTGACAATTATGGGTGTGCACTAAATAAAACCCATTTAATGCTTCTCTTTTTCTCACCAAGCACAAACCTGTGCCCACAAAATCTCACTGTCCATGGAGATAACAATGCCAAGGTGTACCAAGAGCCACGTGAATGGATCCAGGGAAGGATGGGAAAAATTAACAGTGGAAAAGTGAATTTCTCAGTTCTCCTGAGAGTCCCCACCATGTGAAGACAGCAGAGTTATAAATCTGCCTTGGAGGCTTCTTTTACAACCTTAATTAGACCCAGAAACATTATGCACTATTTTGCACCACAAACCAATTGGTTTTTAGTCCAAATTTCCCTTGTGGACTAAGGGTGTGGGGATAAAACCGCTCCCCAGAAAGGAGATGAGTTCTGTGCTTCCACCCTGGTCTCTGGCAACAGCAAATCCCTCCAGCTGAACAATAACGTTTGAGCAAAACAAAGTAAATGACAGCGAGCTTGCTGTGGTATACATTGACATCTCCTCCGAAGAACATTAAAATAGGGAAATAAGTAGCTGATTCCTGTTCTTTATAGAAAAAATATATCTTTTTCTTTTAATTTTAATTTTAATTTGCCTATTTTAAGATAAAGAGTTACTACAGCAAGAGACAATAAGAAGAAATCATTGGGTAAATATGTTACTTGAGCATATTTAATTTGATTTTTTTGCATTTATGTCAGTCCACAAATTA